GAGCCCAGTTACGTGAATAGGTTTCAACTTATGAAGACTCTGCAACTGATGCAGAATTTTTATCAGCTTCCCAGCAATTCAGTCACAGCTGCCCTCAAACTCGTGCTCTGGTGCATGATGAAGAATTTGTTTCAAAGATGAATGCCAAGGAGATGTTTGGGTGGCAGTCATTTATCGCAGTTATACAAAACTTCCTTCAGAACAATAAATCAGATAACTACGTGGAACAGGTTAGCAGAATGATGTTGACCTTTCGCGATCTTGGGTGCAATACGAGCGTCAAGCCGCATTTCTTGAACGGTCATCTTGATCAATTTCCCGTTAACCTTTGGACAGTTAATGTTGAAAATCAAGTATGATGACGATGAAAAATGTTATCAGGGACGATGGGACGAACACATGAAGACTGAGTTGTCGGAACATCGAACGTGACGCATAAGCTATAAACGCGAATTCTTGCCCGATTAATGCCTGTTATGCATCTAGCTTTGTGCTTATGTCATGCCTAATCAAAATGTTTTGTTGAGGATATATGTTTGCATCAATTGCTATAATTAAGATACATCGGGGCACAGATGAACATCGTGAACACTTTCGTCTTTTGCAAAATGCTTTATAGTCAATTTTCCAAAAATCTGAGGCTTAGAGAGAAAAACCCAATATCAGATTTGATTTCGGCATTATCGAATTATATAAGAGCTGCTGTTGGGTTCTTTGCATCTAAATATTGTTGCGCAATGTGATCCATCGTAAAGGAGCTAAGAGGTGTGAAAAGTGACATGTAAAGTCGATTTTCAAAAAAAACTGTAGCTTGTAGAGAAAAACATGTCAGATTTGAATTCAACATGCCCAGATTATTTAGGAACCACCGTTCATTTCCTTGTTGCGCAGTGTTATCTGGGAACAAATTCAAGTGGGACCTACGCGAGCCGACTTGATTGCACGCGCCAGAAGGACAACGCAGAATCGGCGTGCCATAGCATGAATCCAGCTCAACATGGCAGAGCATGCGTGGGTCGGACTGAGTAATGGATTAACGGCAGACCAATGAGCATAGGGCAAAGGGCATGGGACGCAGCGACAAGAAGCAGTTCGTGGAAAGCTGTCGCAATGAAATAGCGTTAAGTTTATGTACAGTCTCTATTTTCGGAGAGTTACACGGCTACGTGATGACGAGGATGTCCGCCAGTTCGTTTAGCTCCAAGTGGTGCAAATAAGCATGAAAACGGTTGTGGAATGGAGGACTGAGAGCGGGCAGTACATCACATCCAACACTACAAGAAACGATCACAGTTGTCGGGATGCACTCGCGAATTGCAGAAGTCGGACTGCGCTTTGATCGAGACTCTATTTGCACTAAAACTAAAGCGCTATTTGTGTTACAGAACATTGCAGAGGGGTCCATCTCCTTGGCCCTATATCTCATCACACTCTTCCGATCGGACCATCTCACGCTGGTCAAGCAGTCCAAACCGTGGCGTCCAAACTGTCCCCTCTCCCACGCTCTAGCACAACGTTCGGCCAGCCAACCCCGTTCCCAGACATTCGCTGACACAGCGGTTCTCACACTTCGGCTATCGCGACAAGCTCCACGTCCGGCCAAACAACCTTCCGTCTGTTCTCACACTCTGGCTCGGCATTCGTTTGCACGACGCTCGTAGAGCGGTTCTCAGGTTTCACCTCTCGCCACATCCTTCCCTTTTTAGCTTATGGTCCGTCGGTCTTTGAGGCACCGCACACTCTGCCGTTGCGTGTCTTTTTTCTGTCATGTCCCTCAAGACCCTGTCGGCCTTGCCGCTCGCTCGCTATCGCGTTATCTGGTGGATGCTGCCTCAGATGAATCCGGTTTCGTCGATATAACCCGTTGCCCACCCTGACGTCGTAGCTTCTCTCCTGCGCGAATTTCCACAACCCCGTGCCTCCACCGCTTCTGAACTCCGGGAGCCACTTGTATCCACACATCCTCACCGACCCAAAGTGGCAGTAACTCTGTTCTTACACTCTGACCCGGCATTCGTTTGCACAACGGTTCTCAGGTTTCGCCTCTCACCACAACAGCGACCAGACTGAGTGAGATCCACGTGTAAAAGGAAATCACGATCCGATTGAATGTCGCAGTCCATTCGCGCCACGGATACTCCAAACAATGTATATGCCAGAGGTGCCATTCATCGTTTGGTAGGTATCTCGTCCACATCCTCATGTCTTTACCTCAGTGACCCGTTGTGCACAGACGAATGAGCAGTTTGGTAAGCTCATGATCATCACTTGTGTTTCTCGCAGACCACATAGCTAGGCGACTAAGCGTGCAAGCTTTAGCCCATGTGTTGCTTCACCATGTTGCTCGCATACTCCCGCTGTACGAGTGTCTGAGTATGTAGTGTCGGGATATGGCGCTCCAAAAAGCAAAACAACGTCTTCGCCGCAACCGGAAACCTATTACATATGGACAAATACTACTTCTATACTGGGTGAATTACTAGTCTTTTATCGTTTTCCCAATCACCATCGCGCCGTGCGAGGTTGGCCAGGGGCTATCGATGCGAGTAAGTTAGGTCAGCTTTGGGACATAGAAACTCGCCCCATCGGTGAACCATTATCACACATGCCGCGCCCTATATCGCTACAAGCGGGCTTTGGTTGAATAACCGATGCTTGCCAGGTGTATAGCCCCGAGTAGATCGTCTAATTTATTCGCATTCATGTGTGGGTGTCAATGGGTTGGCACACGTGTGACGTCAAGGGATGACCAATGGCCCAGCCATCACTAACACAAGTAGACTTTCCTCATTTTCACACCAATGATGCACTGTAAATTGAAAAAGTGTGGACCTGCTCCGATATACCTTCTGACCTTATTCCCATGGCATACAATGGATATGGGGAGGTGGCAGTTCGCAGAGTAACGCAAGCAGAAAGCATGTGGATGTGCGCTGACATAGCGACGAGTAAAGTCAGAAACAAATGGTGCCAACCATAGGTGCGCTCGGGTAATATTAGTGCATTGAAACGTAAGCACGGTCCCCAAATAGGATTTTTGGTTCAAAATCTCAATAACAGCTCACAAGACTGACCAATCTCATGAAAATGGATGCAGCTGTACTTCGAACTTCCAAGCTACTCATAGAATATTGAATAACTAGGGAGGGGCAGAACTTAAAGGAGCTAGGTCCAGTACAGTTCAGTTGACCGGGAGAACATGCAAAGCTTCACATCATGTTAAGACAGCTGGAATACGCACACATAGAGCGGGTGCGGAATGAAGGTGGTCATCCATAAGTATATGATGTGGTGCAGGACTAATAAAGGGTGTATGATGGACAGAGATGCGCTGGCGTTGAAAGCATATTTCCGCCGCATCCAAGACCTTAGAAAGAATCGCCGATACTCGGGTAACACAGTTCCTAACAAGACAAACCCTACTCAACAGTTCCCAACATGGGTTCACAACGAAAGGTTCCTGTGCCATATGTCAATTGCAATTCATCGACCATGTTATAGCAACCCTAGATAGTGACGTGGCCATCATCAACATCCTTCTGGAAACGCAAAAGTCGTTTGACTGCGTACCGCACAAACCGTTATTGATTGTGCTTGAATCTTATGGAATCAAAAACCCACTATTGAGATAGTTCGAATCATATCTGGAAGACCGGACACAAAGAGTACAGATTGGTCAGAGCTGTTCTATTGCCAGAAATGTTACGAGTGGTGTCGTTCAGGGCAGTGTATTGGGCTCATTGCTTTTCATCACTTACATAAACGACACATGTGATCTCATTAGACACGGGTGCCCATTTCCATTTGCGGATGACATGAAACTAGTGTATTCATTTCTACCTGATCAACTGGAACTATACCTTAAAAATATACGCGAAAACCTGTCATCCCTAAACAGATTGAGCGAAAACAGGTCAACAAGATTTTCGGCAGATAAAGCTCAGATACTCTGTTGATTCCCCGATCCCAACTGCGTATTCCGTTCGAGACCTGGGGGATTCGATGCTCCAGTAGCTTCATTTTCTCTTTACACATATTACATCAAGTAACGAAGCGACCAACAAGCTACATCACTAGGTCATTTTCACTATCCAAAACACGGTTTGAATCACATAAAATTATAGTGCGACCCACTCTAGAGTACAGCACAATCATACATAGACACTTACGCAAAACCGATAGAATTGCTTTGGAAAACGTACAGTGCTCATTTACAAAAATGCTCATGAAGTGCCCATCAATGCTTACCTATGAAGACCGATGTTCCTGCCTCCAGCTTGATCTACTCTGGCTTCAACGGCTGAAAAAGCAATCTCACCTTTCACTGCAGTATAACATACTCGCGAGCTTAGTCAACCAGTTCGGCCTTCACTTTACATAATGGATTAACCTATCCCAATCGTAAATAGAAATGTCCACCTTCCTTACAGAGCACCAGGCAAAACATCAGTTTATATTTCCTCTTGGTGAGGTACGCCAATTTGTGGAACAAACTATAGTTGCAACTAAGGACCAGCAAGGACCTGTCTATTCTTAAAACTTTTCTTTCCTTGACAAATGTGGTCAAACTTTTCGGTTTTCATCAATCCACGAACGCGCTCATGGAATCCGGTCCGAAAACATGTGACAATATTACCTATCAAATAATGTTACGCAGTACATACTCAAGGAAACATTGCACAACTGTTCAGCATTAAATGCAGTTCATAAATGAAATGATGACGAAACTGGCTGTACAAATGATCGTTCCACAAAAGGAAACGTGTCCCGCTCGTCAGGAAATATACCGATTTATTTATCTATGTACCTCGACGTGCAGAGCATTGAATGTCTCCGATCCAACTCCATCGCTCAGATCCATTGGTGGCAGGGCAACGCATAGCCCAGTAATGATGACAACTATGACAGTACCTTAACCAGAACTCGGCCCAGATGTGCCCAAGAGGACCGAAATTTCAGCACACTTATTACCAACGATGGTAAATAGAAGGTGACATAAGTTTCATAGACAGGCATAGATCTATTCACAAGAGCAGGGACGCAATGTACACAAAGGATGTCGATGGGTGGATAAGAAAGCGAAAGAAAGCACGCGGTAAGCAAGAAGAGGAAGGAATTAAGAAGACTCGGTCCGACCGCTGAGGCCTCGTTGCTCAAGTTCCGCGAAAAGCTTGTTAGCCGCTGTTTCCACTTCCGATCGATCATCCTCCAGTGCTTCCGACAAGGCCGATAACGTATCTGAAACCAAACAATGTGCCGTTGCCGGCATGCTCCCGTCAATATTATCTGAGGAGGCCAGTCGATCGAAGGTATTTTTCAGAAGATGAATGGCCGCAAGTCGTACACGCCAATGTGAACCATGAATGACACGTGAAGCAAGAGCAGCGCCTAACGGGCGAAGTAGAGCCTCGTCCGCAGCAATAGAATCAACTAATGCATCGAGAGCTTGAGCGAGGTGGAATTCCGTAATAGGAGGTGGCCCAACAATAGGCTCAGTTGGATCTCGAACACTTGTGACATCGAGCAGGGAGACGAACGCAGCAGGAAGTTCGAGGACCGTGTGGCCACCGGAAGAGAGGTCTAAGTACCTGATAGTCTGGATCTCACACAAGAGCCACTTTCTCAGACATTCGACGGCAGAGCTTATCATGCGCAGTGCTTCTTCAGTCGCTCCATTAGCTAGCTGTCCAATACACGATTTCAGACTCAAGCGTTCAGCCAATTTGCGAATACCTAAGAGAGAGAGAGAGAGAGAGAGAGATAGAGTGGTCATAAGAAATTCTCAGTGCATTGAAGATTACAACAATGGACTCCGATTGGTTAAGCAAAAGATGGTTTTGAAGCGAATAATGCAACTATAATTGTAGAGAGAAAGTGTGAGGGACCAAGTCAACGGTATTTCACTAGATGAGTCAGACAGGATGTGGAAACAATGATAAAAGAAATCATAACTGGGATGGATGAGAGCACGAAACACGGGAGCGCGTATGGTGACTTATTTAGAGTACTGGGTTTGGAGCAGTATGGGCGGACACGCTTGCAACATCGCACTCCAAGACCGGTTTCGTAGTGGTTTGCATACCTATCAGGTTGAAGAGCGAGAATCACTAGTGAAGTGCGGTGTTATGAGCACACAACACTTAACATCCATCTGCTTCAGCAGTGACGCCCCAAATGACCAAAGTGAACAATGTTCACCAAGAAACTGATCGCCGTCCAGATTGAGTATCGAAGTCCACTCACACACACACACGCAAGCACATAGTGAGCGCTTCCAAATCACCTTCCTCCCTCCAATAACAGACGAGGTAGATTGGCGCAGTTGAACAAGGTGCCAGTAGTGCATTCGTGTGGTGAGAGAGAAACGTACCTTTGGATTTGCGGCCGGTGGCTATGTAAAAACTAAGGACCACATAATCGACCAGACAGAGCTGTTTGCTGAGTTCGGAAAAGGCTTCGGAACCAATGCGATCCGAGAGTCTAGATGAAAAGTGGAAACGAAACAAAAGGGAAGGTTAAAGCTATGAAAATTCGTGTATTGACCAGTATGGTTTTCTGCACACACCTATCTGGATTGATCCATCTTCTCCTTTATTTAGTCTTGCATCAAGAACATTCATCTGATTGTTACTTTCTCTTTCAATTGTAAATTGTTGCTTAATAAAGGTTCGAAAGTCGCGAGTACGTTGTGGGAGAGTGTGTGGAACAGTAGGCGATGCACCAATGGGAACAAAAGAATTCAGAAGCGATAAAAGCGCTTTGGAACACAAATACATGTCCCAAAACGTACTAGTGTGTCGAAGTAATGCTGTATTTTATCTCCATCGACTAGGTGTTCACATTCGACAAAACAAACTGGAAGTATGGAGTGAGAAATTTTACCGTTTTGTGATAACCTCCACCGAAATGGAGGAGTGTTGGTGGATCCGCGGCTATGACGAATGATGACGTTTGAAAAACACCTGACTACTGAATGTGGACCTTCGGCACATTCCATGTACTAGGGTACGGACTATGAAAAGGAACCGTAGGGTAACACGCTTCATGAAGATGTAGTCCCAGGATATAAACTCCGATAAAGCCCTCATGTAGCAATAGATTGCCGCAAAGTACAATTAATAATTAAAAAAGATCGTTTTCAGAGAAAATAATGCAGAATGTTGACAAACTTTTCCCGTGGCCAATCCGGTAACTTACCCAGACATAATGCAGAAAGTCATCGATAGACGATCGAATGAGGCATTCAAAGCCACTTGCTCTGACTTATTCTCCGTACGGTCCTGGCCAATGGTGACCGCCCATGCGAAAACACTGTGGCAAAGTCGCAAACGCACTTCACTAGGCGATGCTGCTAACACCGCCGAGACAGCATGATACAGTGCATTCCGTGCTGTGGTATTAGAGTACGCAGGAGAAGTGGTGGAGCGTAAACTGAAAGTGACAAGGTGCTGCAACAAGTCCGGACGAGTGGTGGAGATCTGAATCCATCCCTTGCGAAGGTTCTCAATGGTCGGTTGTTCGGTCCGAGAATCCCGGAAGGCCAGTTCGGCCAAATCGCCCAAGAAGAGAAGAGCTCCTTGTGTGACTAACTGAAATAACAGGACGGTAAAAGGGCTTCTCAGTGGCTAGATGCATGCAAAAGATGCAAGGGATACATTAAAGGCAAAGGCAAAAACAGGAGAGTGAAACTGGGCGACGAACTGCACTTGAAAAATCCAGAGTAGCTCAAGACAGTCTGGTACAATATGAAGTGTGTCAGTAGATCGATTAAAAACCCTAGGCAATGAACAGGAACATACCACATCGGGTCGAATAAAAGCATCCTTCAGAATGCGCTGTACAGCCTCCAAAAGGTTTCCGACATCCGTGACGTGCATCAACAGTTGACTGAAAAAAGGAAAAAAGTAAACTTTATGGGGCTGAGCACCGAACGCGTTACAAAGGAACGCTAAGCGGTGTCAGCGAGCATCAAAGCGACTAGCGTGCACAAGTCAGCAGCACAGAAACATGGCTTGTTAATGCCTGATACCTGCGCATGTACAACGGCTTAATGAACTCGTGCTTTTACTGTCAAAATCCCGTTTGGCTTGGAACTAAGGTTCCAATCCTTGATCAAGTTGGAGTTCAGCACCACTGCAGAATCACATTCCGAGTACAGGAGCATGCGAACAGTTGGCAGCGAAGTACCAGTACGAAGTACCAAGGTACAGTTGACACTTTTCAAGGTCGACGTGTAGGGGTGAGTTCAGTAAAAGTATAACTAGACTGTGAGAAGAGCACCCGGTCGGTTCGAATAGATGAGTACGAGGAAAGAAGGATATGATTATTTGGAAGCGAAACATTGGATTCGTTCATTAGGCGCAGTCGCCGGCCAACACGGCTCCGCCACTGTGATTTCGCTCGTGGTTTGGTTAACTGAGTCACCACGATATAATGAGAAGTTGTTCGTGGGTCAAACGTGGTGTCATATTCGTCTACTTAAGTTGATCGAAGAAAGCGTTTGTTCCTGAAGGAAGACCGGCTTGTGACAATCATCTGCCAGTGAGTCGCGTGTTGCTGACTGATAGATGGCGAAAACCATAATCCGGTGCTGAAGTTTCTTCACTCGGATGGTTACAGAAAAACAGTATTAGCCATATTTTATCATTAGCATTCTACCTGTTAGCTAGATGTAAGAGATTACTAAATAAAATAAGATACCCTCAGCACCGGCACTCCCCTCCGAGGGTAAATGGCGAAGATCCAAAAACGTGGGAGATGTAGATGGTTAAGATGAAGTGATGACGTTGCTTTGAATACTAAAGTGTAGTAGCAGTTTCACACGTATTACCACGGCAAGATAAACCAAACAATGCGAAACGAAAAACAAACTTGCAAAATAACAACCAGTGATCGAATACGTTGTAACATGAATTCAGAGGCAATGTGCTGTTGAACGAAAGGCCCCAAAGAAGGCTCACCGTATTTGTTGAATGAAAGCGGTGATTTGCCTCAACGTATGACCAGAACGCTCCAGATTGGCGCCCGTGGCAGAAGCAATGTTGAGCTGACTTAGTTGAAATACGAGGCGGAGTAAAATGTCCGACATGCGACAAGAATAGGTTGCTGAAGTGGTGCGATTGTCCGAGTCGAATTGAAGCCAATGCACACGGGATGTGGAGGAGTCCGAGGAACTAGCTTCTATCCTTCGATTGACCACCGCCAATTCGAGCAGGTTGTCCAAAAGGGTCAGGCCGGCCTAAACAAGAAGAGAAAGCAGCGGCTGAAATGCAGACTGAGCAGAAAGAAAAACAAAGGAGAGTAAAAGGAAGCATTACTCATAGACAATAGAAATATATATACCAATGCGATCGATAGCCACTCGCAAAGTTGTGCGAGTGCCTCACAAGGCAGTAACAGCAGGTATCGCAAAAGCCCCTGCACGCTGTTTATGGATGGTGACGTAATGGGGGTTCCTTCACGGGAAGCAGTCGGTAATGGAAAGTGAATTGCCGTGGCTGTGTAAGCATGTCGAAGAGTTTTAGGACGATAGTTTAACGCGTTGCCAAGAGGTTAACGCTTGTCCATTTATGCGTGTCGGCTCATGACTGTTAATATGATCAGTTCAAGACCTGCATGCACACGGCTGTATTCACATCTTCGATGTTGTCAAAACGCAGGTATGCAGCTCTCGCCAGTAATGATTCTCACTTGAATTTACTTCTGAGTGGTAGTTTTGAACTCTCCCCTCGGAGACATAAGTTAAGTGTCATACGTTTGCTACTTTGTAAAAAATGCCAGCCCAAGCTTTCAATCTTGTTGATGCACCAGTTGTGAGGTCCAAGTTACAAATGCAAAAACTGACCGACATTACTAGAGTTGAGTCCAACTCACGTGATCAATTGTGATTCGTGCACACCAAAGTGTGATGAATTCAGTTGTATTGACTCCATCAGCACAATAAATACGATTAAAAAGGTGGAGAAGATAAAAAAGCAAGTAAAATAGGTGGCTGAGTGACGTGACAGCCGTCAAAGTGAAGAGTTGAGAATCGGCGACCGGATTTCAAGATGGTTAGAGATGTGACAATGTTCACCACCATGAGCAGCTGTGCACCAGTTATTTGACTGACGCGTCTGCCATGCGGCCATAATGACGTAGAGGCCGAGGAATAATAAGAGAAGAAGAAATGGGATCTAGAGTGAAACCTAAATGTCCTAAACAAAAATCCAGAATCAAGGCGCCTAATCTTGGTCAGTAACATCGTCAAAAACAGTTGGCTATTGCGCGAGGGTAAGGTGGCAGCGACGAGACAACTTCCTTGCGTATTGCATCTGCCTGCATCATATTTGGCATTACTTCACGAATAACTCCGTGACACACTTTAAACGGCCAATCCGACTAAGAAAGAAAACGAGGCACCAGTTGCGATTCGTGTCCTGCAACGTCTCGAGCCAAGCACAAGGGGAGCCACGTGCACATCAGTCTGGAAGGCAAGAAGCATCAACAACACAGTTCAGTCGTCGGTGATTTCCTTCCAAACTGTCAAGCCAACTTTTTTCCGACAAACAAAACAAGGGCCCATTCGGTGTACATTGAGGAGGTATGCGCAGCACGTGCCCAAATCAAAACAACTTGCTCGATGCTTTCTACGTAGTAGTTCCAAATCCCTCATTCTCAAGCTAGTAAGATTTCTCTGCGGGTATCAGCCTGGTTGATGAGAACAAATCAGCCAAAAAAGGGTAAAATGACCATCAATAAAGCAGTCTTTTTTATTTTACTCCATACACTCTGCTGCAAGACACTTGTATAGATGACAGCGCTGCCGTCTGGTAGGGAAGTGTGTGACTGGCGAATACCGACCTCGAAAGTTATACCGTGTGACGGGGCATAGTTATTGATATTTCACGACATAGAGAAATAAAGAAATTTGCAGCCCGAGATAGTCTAACAAAACATGTAACGATACGTTTAAATCATCCGATCGGGAAGTAGTACCATTTTCAGCAGCTGCGAGACGAGAATACGTGCCATAAAGCCACATGAGACAAGCATATCTTGGCCGCCTTCAAACGCACAGAAGCACTGGTATTTGTACGGGAAGTAACGTCTATGGCGCAGTGTGATAAACGATAAACTGGACAATAGAAATGAGATGGGGTGCAATAATGTCGCACGTTGGTCACCAGAAGATATAGGCGACATCAGAATACCAGAAATCGCCCCTCAAGAAAACTGTGGTCAATATACTTTTCTCGCCCTAGCTAGTCCTAAAAGTCATTTGGCGGCCTACCCTAGCGAACACTGCGTGCTGTGAACATATGCGCTGAAGACCGGGCGACGTAACTAGACAGCCGCGAGGATGAAGTCTGAACAGTTAAACCCGGTGGAGAAATTACTTTCCAGAAGCAGATTTACGGGGTGACTAGCGTACGCTAGCATACTGATACGCGTTCATAAGATTATAAAACTAAGGCACAAGCTTATCAGATACACACATAACGTTTTCGGCAGTGTTTCTTTTATCATCCTTGTAATCTCTGATAATAAGGACCATCATTAGTTGCAAACTAACAAGTACAAAATCATGCGACCACTATGACTGGATAAAAGTGTCCGGGATAGACAAGCGGAGAAACTACTTCCGCGGAATGTTGTAGCGAAGTGTCCATACCGGAAGAAAGCCATCCACGTTACCCGCAGGACGAAGTCTCGTGCGAATGACTAACAAGAAAGTTGTAATACTGCCTTGTCACCAATTCGACAAACAGCAACTACCTTCACGTTCCTCAGGAGTCCAACAAGCGTCATGATGATTAGCTGTGATGCAAGAGTGGTGCGCGGACACAGAACAATCGGCTCGGGCGTTTTCAAGCTACTAGCAGTGAGCGAAACTGAAGAAACATCTATGAAACGACGACGAGCATAGAGGCAAAAGTCTCAACGGGCCATAGTGTGTCAGCATGACACCGGTCGGCTCGGTGAAAATGAAACCGCCAGTGTCGACACCGTAGTTGTCGACTCATTTGGACAGATTGATTGAGGGCCGCCAAAAGTTTTATGCCTGCGGAGCCCATGAAGCATGAACGACGGCTGCGATGCAGAGTATTCCGGCTGCCAGGAGAATGACCCTGATTCGACAGTAGTTACCACCACTAGCTTGAAGACAAGCGAAATGTGGAGGGAAGACATCGACGACAAAACGGCCAGTGGTGTTCAAGTCAGCTACTATGGAGCTTAGCACCTCTAAATGACCACATTACACGTAGCAAAAAAATCAACAGGGAATGATTCACACCTAGTGCTGAGTTTGAATACAATAAGCTAATAAGGCGCATAGCAGTGCTGGAAGCAAGCCTAAAGTCGGCTGACAACGCCCTATGCCCGGTGGTCTACAGAAATTAGGGGAGGTGGATAAAATCGATTAGATCATTCAATAGACATCCGGCCCGTAGTTTTAAATATCGCAAGCCTGCTTTATAATCTGAGGACACGGGTTCGAACCAGTGTAGGGCTCAGGGGACCCTTGCAATATCCCTAGCCCATGCGCGACTGTTGGTGGTTGCACGGCAGTCAAGCGTCAGTACTAGTAGTACCATTTTCTAGTCTTTTTTGATCAAAGGCGAAAAGTACGCATCATCAATGGGTGCAAGATATTTAAAAAGTATGAGCGAAAAAGCGGTTTATGCGGAACGCACATGGTTAACCACAGTGGTATTTCGAAATAGAAACAAAAGTGGACAGAGAAATAAGCGACTCTTACCAACAAGTGTTCGTGTCGTGAATGGACCAGTCCGGTCATCAAGGTGGTCGATGAAACAACATCTTTGCCCGATTGTTGAAGCCACTCGACCGTGATCGTGGGTGAACGTGCCAAATGACAACTGGTTATCGTGTGATCAAGCGAGAAGGCAAGAATAGAGCCTAAACGATGTACTGTGGCGCTAGCATCCGGGCAAAGCGATTGTGCGGGCAGACGTTGTAGGCATTCCACGAAGAAAAGGCACATAAGAGAACGTGATTCAGCCAAACCTGAACCTCGAGGTTCACGGGGACGGTTAGACCCATCAACCGTGGGTGATAACGGCCACCAGTAGACGAGATTTGCTATCAGTATGTCCATTGTCTGCAGAAGATAAATTGCGCAAAGTAAAGAAAAATATTAAACACAGAACGACACAGAAGTCAAAGAAGTTAACAGAAATGAAGATACGGAGTCTCGTAAAAGAGCTATGGCTTACCCGAAGAAATTCACCAGGATAACGAGAGGCCAAAAGTCTGGCCAGATCACGGAGGCAAGCTAAGCATTGTCTGGAGAAAGAAGAACCAAAAGCGCGTAGATCCGAAGGTTTTGGATGGGGGGTACCAGTGGTTCCGGAATGTCCACGAGCATAACAGGAGCCTAGATCGTACTGCGAGGAAAGTTGAGCGGTGAAGCGCACCAGACCGGATTGCAATGTTAGATCAATCTGACGAGAGCGGCGACGTTTGGCTCGCTTCTTCACCTTGTCCTCCGCGACAGGAATGATGCTGGAGTCAAACAAAATGGGGGAAGGCTCGCTATATACGGTGAGGCTGTTCAGCTTAGCTGTTAGTAGATCTAGTGCCTTTCGTCGAAGACCGTGGTGCGATGAATCGAATAGGTCGGAAACCATGCGAATGAAGGTGTCACCTGAGACTGAATCGTGAATCTGTAGGAGGGTAACACGGCACGTACAGCGTAAACCAGATCAAAAAGAGTGATTCTACTGATAAGCAATTAAAGATGAATGCGAAGCTATGCGGTTTCGCAGGCTGAACTAAAGTATGGATCTGTTCGTTGACGACATTACACTCCACTAGAAAACTCGTCCTCGCCTTGGTTGCTCAAGTTGTGATAGTCCCAACGAGAACTTGAGCATGTTAAGCGATGTGTAGTGTGGTGACCTATGCTAGGACAGTCTTGAGAAACCTCAAGAAATTGAAACAAAATTTGCAAATCAGGCTTGAGAAAGTAAATATCTAGTGGTAGACTCCTTAGAGCAAAATAGAGTCAACATAATCATGGGCGCTTCGAACGTTGAGGACAGTATGCTGAACGAATATAATCTGGCAGGGAGGATAACAGTACACAACGTCAACAAACCTGAATTAAAATGGTCTGCAATCCAGTCAGTGTCTGTTTCACACTGTGCATGGCGGATGGTTCACTGGGTCCAGTGGACGTCGGTGTTGTCACATCATCCGTCAGAACGGCCGATGCGTTCAGCATGAGTTGTACGATTTGCTGAACCAATCGACCATAGACGGCTCCAAAACCCAGCGGATCGTTCGATGCGGTTTGCAGCTTATGATCATAAGTTGGATCTGATAGCAAGGAGTTGAGCAACTGCACAGCCCGAGAAATCAATGACCACATGGAGAAAATGCTAAACGATGGGCTGGTGGAATTCACCGTCATGGAGCGGTCGCTTTCGCCCCCGAACAATGCGGTGACTAGAGCCTCGGTGACTCGAGGCGATGACAGTTTGTCGACAGTGAGATCCATGGAAAGCTCGAGTGCCTGCGAGGTACGATCGCTCGTTCCTGGATCTGTGAGTCTCCGTTTCGATGGTGGAGATGAAATCTCTGTATCTACGACCTCAAGCGGAGGAGCGTGCATATCCGAGATCGACTGAAAATGTAGTGGAGGAAAAAAAGAAGTAATATGAGTATAAAATGGCAAACAAATTGTGGACCACCTATTGAGTATTGTTAAGCGATATGTCAGCCAGAAGGCATAGTAATGATACATTACAAACGCGAGAAGAATAGATTAGCATAGTGTCTGAAAAGAGAGATCAGCCTAGTGCCTGGTCACCTGTGCTAGACAGTAGCCACCAAATGCCTGATACGGTGGGAGTACACCAACTGCGAACAACAAATGGTGGTGCCGGCCGTGATGTAAAAGCGGGGTTATTTCAACGGTAATGTCAGGAGACAATTAAAAAAAAACGTAACGGTGGTGGCAGACCAGAACAAACGGATAGGCTTCGAGAAGTGAAGTTGGCCGCATACCAGAAGGTATCTGGTTTCCGTCGAAACTTAGGTGCCAGACAGTCTTGTAAATGCGCAGAGAGCAGTAAGTAACCAGCGCAAATTTGTTGTTCAGTCACTCATGCGCGATGCCATCAAGGTTTGTTCCCAAACCGCAAGCCGTTGAAGTCTACCGAAGAGATGAAACAAATGTGACGCAAAAAGAAAGGTCGTTCTATGGCTACTGTACATAGACACAACAAACCTTTGTGATGATATTCCCCGTCTGTTGTGCCCTAGCTCGCGTTTGCTCCATCGTTTGATTTTTCCCGATGTGAAACACACGAAGATGCTGATATGCGAGATTAAAGTGGATCGCAGCCGCGACGCTGAATGATGAAAACTGTGATAACCCAATTAAAGCACAACCTACGGCAAAAGACGCATCCGCCAAAGAAGGTAATTCGATGGGTTCAGGCAAATGGTAGAGAGGTAACACACTTGGGTGTAATAAGGTGACAAAGGAAGGTAAGTAAAGCAGTTTAAAAATATGGTTGGCTGCGGTCAGTGCGTGTTTTGAGACCCCGAAGGCAATTTACCGAACAGTGGATGAGTAAGATGGGGACAGAAAAGGGTTCAGGGCGCAGTTGTGAATAACTGTTTAGTGACTAACGAGAAGAGATCCGAAAGACGTGTAAATGAGGAACGAGCAAGTGGGTCAATAAAAGTGTCGCGCCATGGGAGAGAGCGAAGACCGTGGATCATAACCGTAAAAATCATAAGGAGACGATAGAACGTGAAATGAAAACCCGATGGCATCCATAGACTACCAAAACTGATGGTGAAAAAGCTGCCATTCTGCATTGTGAGAAAATGGAGAACGATAGTGCGAACAACAGTTCTGTAAGGAGAATGACACCGGAAAACGCTAGCGTTATTACAAACCATCAGGACCACTCGCCATGCAGCTGTACCGAATAGTGCGCAAAAACCCCATCATTTGTTAATTTAATTGGCTGCATCATTACGTAAGAATTAGCTGATGCAAAAATGGCATCGGGGTTAGTTTTCTGTTGTTTGATAGAACACAAGAGACGACCGACCAACCGACAGCAATGCTGAGCGAATCGATGTTAGTAAAGCGCCTTTTGATTGCCCTGCTTCACGCCTGGAGAAAAAGTAGATGAACAGAGCACAACACCATGCCCGGTGGTATAACACAAGACACTGTGAAATCTCAAGGCCTTCCAAGCCAAAACAAAGGAACATAGTGACTACTAGCTAAGGTATCCTACTTTCATGAATTCGAAACTGTTGACGCGCCTGGTCCCCCCAAAACTACTACGCGTCTGACATTCTCCGTTGCATTCAACACCGATGTAACGAGAGACGTGCGCCGTTAGATCCCCAAATCAAAGAGTATCAAATATTATTAGTATTATCATATACTTCAGTAACTGTAAGTTTATTGAACGGATGAGCTAGTAATTGGATAACACCGGAAATTAGATACTTGAAGACCCTGATCAGTTAAGGAACATGAATTGGACGTGGTGCAATGGGCATAATAACAGTTAGAAACGAAATCGGGACCGCTAACACTCAAAAAACCCATTTAGCTTCACTTCGACGAAGCTCGATTAGTCAGATGAGTGACAAGAAACTTAAATGTGGTGAGATTGATACACTAGACGCGTACTTCTTTTGAACTCTGATCCACAATCAAGCATATCCGGGACCAAGCGTCCGTTTGGGTTGGAAGATGGTCAATGGATTGACATTGTACTTGATACTTAGAATTTAACAATTTTCGACAACCCGCGGTGCAAATATCCCCACTGGTGACACAAACAGCAAAATTTCCAAATAAGTCGACGATTGGGGTAAACACAGCTGCAATCTGCCACAAATGCTAACATCGGCTTGCATTGCGTTTGCTCACCAGTTCGTATGCACCCTCTTGTCGCTCCTTCGTCCATCGCCACGCCGTCACCTTCCGTAAAATTGCAGCGTAGCGATTCGCAAACATCTAAAAAATCTCGGCCTTCATTCTTGTTGTCCATACCTTTGCACACATCTGCCTGGCAGTGTATCGCCCCCTGTAAAAACAACCCACACCATTTCGTGCGGTTACCTAGGCGGTTAAGAGCCAGCAAACACACCAGGGAGGCACAAGTGGGTTTCTTACTAGGCACCGGACTGGAAGACCCTAGCATCGCTCAGCCGTTCCCATCAAATTTGAGCAGCACGCCGCAAGTACCGGTGATCAAACACGGCCAAGCGTTTAATGTCTTCACTGCGAACTGACCAAGTCTCAGATGGATACAGTAGCACCAGCTTAGTCGCAGCGTTATACACTGTACGTTCCATTGACAGGCTGATATCCCGCCGTCTCCATAGATGGTTCAGGCTCTGAAAAGTCACGTGGATTTTGCTGAAACGCGAGGCAACCTCAGTGGTACGTCCATCAGAGGTGACACAGCTACCAAGGTGCGTGAACTGACCGACTACTTACGGTGACTGCGGGGTGGTGGATAAAACTGGTGGCGTGTCAGTTCAGTTCTGCAACAGTGCTTTGCACTTTGAAGTGGAAAGCGTATGCTGAAGCATGAAGCACTAAGCGTTAGACTCTTCAGTGGCTAGATTCAAATGCAAGGAGGACTATATCGTCCAAACTCTCGAGGCGCGTTTGTAAGTTACTCGATAGAACTTCCAGTTTAGAAGAACCTGAGAGAACTGAGTTATGACCATGTCGACCGCAATTTGAAGAAGAAAAAAGATAACCCTTGCGCATCCCACTTGTAGTATGAAATTTAGAGGCTTTCGCGTATGCGTGGACGCCGCCGATATACACTTGCCGGCCTACAGCATAAAAACACGGATAAAGATATTGTGAGACAAAACAATGAGATACTTTGGCCAGGCTTTGAAACTTTCAAACAATTGCTAATCAGGAGGTATTCGGAAGGAAACTGTGTTGTGGCTAATTGCCGTGGGCCACAGTTCTCTACAGAACGTACACATTATAAATGGTTGTTCAGCCACATCCTTAGTGTGAACTGATCGGCAATCGGAAATATAATGCAAATTCTACGAATGCGAGCGATAACGCTGAAAATGTTGTGATATTTGCTTTTCGAAAAGTCCACATATGAAGAATTTAAAAGAGTGGAACACACCACATCAAACAGATGATCAGCGGGCACATGCACAGAGTGAAGTTCGTAATGAGATCCTCCTAAGCCACTTACCAATTTTTTGGACCGAGCGATGCCTCCCGAAGGGCTATTATGTTTGCTCACCCATAGGAAAAAGGTGAGACATTCGTACCACGCGTTCACTTGCACATCCCAAGCAAACTGGTTGTGCAATTCGAGCAGTAAGGGAACAACTTGATCGGCTGGTAACGAAAAGTAAAAGATGCGGCTGGTCAATCAGATGAAGGGCAAAACAGGGGCGACGAATAAGAATTTGAAAAAAGCAGTAGAAAAACTGGACAGTGTAGCCTGTATAAAGCCGTAGTGGCCAGATTACAAAGGAGTGACCCAAAGAAAACGAATCGTTAAATACATAGCGTAATGAACAGTTGGATCATTTCAGCTATTAAACTGTGACGGTATCGGAATCGGAGTGCGGTGAATCCTCCGCAGCCGCAATCAGACAACAACTAGTTGATTAAAGAAAGGAAGGTAGATACTCATTAGCCCATGACACCAACCTGGAACGGAGCAGCTTGGCAGTTTGGCTGAGTTCAAGTGGTGCAGCTTCAATCAGTGAGGTCGACTGCAGTGCGTCCATAATACTCCTTAAGGTTGACTGGTTACCCAGAAAGATGAACTGAACTACTTCCCTTGGTTGGACATGAATATGTCCATAGGGGCTGGGTGAAGCTTCACAACGGGGTTGCAGATGCCACGTCAGACACAAAACCGGAGCTCTGACATTCGTCGTGCTTTCTACGTGCAGTCGCTACTAATCTCGGCTCCTCTTTGTGTGCGTCATTCAAATCTGGAAAAACTGGAAGGATACCTGTCTTCGTGAAAACTGTGCAAATCCTTTTCAAGCATCGAACGCTGTCAAACCTAAGCGCATAAATTCATCGCTTCGAAACCGACAAGGCTAATTTTAGTTTTATTTGCAAGATCACTCTGAGGGCCCCTAACACTCCTACATCCATCTCATTTGGCTGCTGTACAAGACATTTATTGAAAAATTTGCCACTACTCATACGGTTACTGCTGCGTTGTTTACAATCCGACTGCGACCAACTCCATTTGAAACCCACCCAAATCTCGCATTCACCGAGACCAGATAGATAAGCACGCGTGCACGGCCCTTGTGTCCACCTGTTCTCGTCGCACACACTGGACTTTGTGGCAGGACAGTACACGTGATCTAAAAACCGCCTGACCCATACCGTGTATGACCAGGTTACCCTGACCCTAACGAGTTGCGCTTCACTCTCGTCACCCACATTGTTCCGTCAACGACTGACACCGGACTTGACGCAAAGGCAGTTGACCAACCAAAATAAGTGAGGAAATCGGACTGTATAAAATTGAAACCGGTGTTTCGGCACTTAAGTTACCATTTCGTAGTACCAAACAGGAATCCATCGGTTGTATTTTGTCCCTCGTATTAATCCGACGTCAGAGTAGCGCCATATTTGGTTCCATCCATATGCTGTAATTCAGAATTTTTTTACATCTTTCCGAGTTTTTATAGCTGATATTCGAGGTTAGGTATGTCATCTGATTTCTTTCTTTATGATAGCGAGAAAACCATCTGTTCCTCCGAAAACAGGTAGCTAACCATAAGTCGAGTACTGCCAAGCTCGGTGTTCAAAAATTTTTAGATTCTCCTGACCAAAATGCAAATTTGGTTGTAGAAGATGACATGGAAAATAGCAACAACCAGCTAACGAGAGCTGCTAAAAATAAGAGCACTGCCCCACTCCTGACACCTGAAATTGCCACCAAAGTCCACAATCCAGAAAGTGAGGTAACCGTATAAACGAAAAGCTCAAAGAAGTCAGTCAGGTACTGGATAAACTGACATTATTATCACACTTAGTGAATGTGCCAAATAAACCGAACGCAGATCACTTGCAAGCAGCAGTATCAGTCTTTTCGTTGCTCACCACCGAAATTCGTGAAATGATAAACGGGCTAGAAACGTAATCATGTTTTATGTACCGGACAAAATACACCTGGAAACTGTGAAGCGTGTCTTGCTCAATGCGAGTAGCATGAGTGGAACAAACTGTCACCTTATACGCCTAAGAAAAGCAAACCTTAAGTACGCGTGTCCAATCCTATTAAAGTTTACAGAAGAAACCCATGCCCAACTATTTCACAAGAGGAGTTTACTTGCTACCAACACTGATTTCAAGCGTATCATGGTCGAACGTCCCTTCAGAGGGAAATTAGGGTAAAGCAGGTACAAGCCGATGACAAAGCTACTCCCTGTAATATTGTTAGTCACCAAACTGATAGAGAAGCCAAAGACCAAACTACTTTGGATTCAAACTTGTCCCCGTGGGAGTGTGGTTCTAAAGTTCTAAGTTCGGATTGCTCTATGACTTCGACCTCGAATTTAGCTTTGGACCAGTCTTGCAAATCTGCTGGTCATATTTATCCTCAGACAAATACAAATAATCTGGGCATTGTAATGGACGACGATAACGCCTCAACTACCGCATAAAACAGCGAAGTACCTTCTATAGTATTCAAACGACAGTTAATGTGCTTCTCACTGATTACCGGCAAGATGACAATGCAGTTGAACTTAGAACCCCTAAACACGAAATCGCGTCCAAACAACAGTGTGAACTGGGAGAAAATCGGAACCAAAACAAAACTACAGTCAATACGGTAACGCTGCATTTTACCGAAGAAGTCATGTGACCAATAGAAACCAGACCATAATCCAGTGTGACTGCGATGTTCTACGAGGAACACTCAATATAGAAGCTGCAAAAATAGTTCCTCTAACATCAGACATCAACCTCCGATTATAGGTAAAAGGCTTCCGTACATCCCTTCTGGAAATTTGGGGCAGCCCTTTAACCAGTATCCCGCAAGTGTTAGTAGATCTCGCTTTTATCATCCTGTTCATCTACCGCTCACATCTGCTGCACCCACAAGCATTGTAAACACGAATACGTTTTCTGCCAATTGTTGAGTACCCTAGAGCTGCAATGTGCCAGCAAAATAAAGGTGCTAACAGTTACTTTAGACGAACCACAGAACGTGTGACCGCCGTGGGTGAACGACTTAAGCTCACTCCAAATACAGACCATGATCTAGCCAACCCTGACCAGCATCCCTTTTGAGGTGACATCAGTCAATAATACAGTACCGCCTTCAGATATAGTAAACTTCGTGTCACTGCGGATTGTTAGGTAAGTGGGATTCACCATCATACTCCGAGAGATGTCTCTCCGTGCACGGAGTAAATCAGCTAGGTGAAAACTCCATAAGAATACATCAGCTCCATCAAGATATTACCAATTTACTCCCATATTCTCCAGTTAAGAATACAATTTTTCACATGGACCGCACCCAGCCACAGGGCTTATTTTAGATCCCACTTCTAGCTACTTAACGCATGACAGTTCCATAGGAATAGAGGGTCGCTTAAACAAGATGTTATGTAAACGCATGGATTATGCCTTTTATGATGGTACATCCCAACTGGTGCTCATCAATGTCCATTCTCTAGTACATAAAATACACTTGTTCCGCTGCTTCGTCGCCATTCATCAATCCCACACCCTTCTTATTACCGAATCGTGGTGTACGAGTGAGACTGCGGACTATCTTATTGCTGTCCAAGGGTATTATTTCTTTCGAAAGAACTGATATCCTGGTAGAGGAGGTGGTTGTATCAAGTACTGTATGAACAAATTATGTGCTTCACAATGTAGTGAAAAACAATTCTTAACCCTCGATGAGTCCATTTGGATAACAGTATCCTTGCGTAATAAAAGAATGTTGGTCGATTGTGTTTGTTTGCCGAGGCTAGTGCGCTTGAAAACGGATTGTTTCAGAATGTGATGACGCATGCCATTGCAGTTCCTATTCGCTATAAGATAGTTGGAGGAGATAAACTTACCAAACATTTCATGGATCGAGTGCAAAGGTGCAAGAAAGCAAGCCAAAATCTTGAATTGCCTACTTGAGGGAGGCTGGACACAGCATAATACACTCGACCTCATATTCACCGCTGAACTAGTAGTTGCTGTTATCGACGTACTGGACTGTCTACCCAGTAGTGATCATAATGTTGTCAGTTGCAAAATGAACATTGCATATACACCTAAAGCCACGTTTAGACACGTGTGTAATTTCGGTAAACTGGAGAAACTTTGCTACCCTTGTGCATACATTTGATTGGACTAATTTCTTCTTGTCACCTAATCCAAAGGTGTCATTGCAAGCAATTTATGAGAAGATAAATCGGTGCATTGAAATACTGTCGCCTGCTCTAGCTCGTAGTCGAAGTAAGTAGCAGCCACGGGCGAAACTGTACGAACGTAAGATTAGAGTTCGTTCCAAACAGTTTCAACAGACTAATGACTTTACAATTCTATTTAAGCCACACAGAATGCTGATAAAAATTAAAAGCATGAGAATTCTTCGTCCCAAGAAAGAAGAGACTGAAATCATGAAAAGTGCTAATCCAATGTTTGACATAACACGATTACTAAAAAAGCCGAGTTGTACACAACGAAACCCACCGATACATCATATTAGGCCTGTGGATATCCTTATCGATACTCCTGCAGTTGTAGATGTAGCTTCTGACAATTATTTTGCCGATTCTTTTACTACTGAGAATGATATACTTTGGGATCACCCCACACAGTACTGTGGGTCATGTAACTCGAACGTAGATTTCGACTGGTTCAATGAAGCGTCAAATTAACGCCTTAAAGATTACATTTCGTCCAGATCGAGATGGAATCCCGCCAGTACTTTTAAAATCCGGTGGGAATGATGTCCCCTGCTTACTACTGAACTTATTTACTACATCAATGACAACTGGGTTTATCCCGATCGGTAGCAACTGACACCACGCCATAAAACTGGACCTAGACATAACGTTAATAACTATCGGCTCATAATCACACTGTTATAATTTCCAGAATCATGAAGCGCCTAGTTAAAAATGAAATCGTTAAATTCCTAAGAGCAAACAACCTTTTGTCACATTTGCAGTACGGATTTCTTCAAAAGCTTTCAAGTGCCACTTACCAGCTAGATTTCTTTGGTCACTAAGCAAAAGTCGACAGACTCTGGTAAGGCGTGTATCACACTTCATTTGGACCTTCAAAAAACCTTTGACAGTTTCACACAGAACGCATATAGATAAAATTCGACTTTGTGGAATCGCAGG